AAATATTTTTCTGGATCCAATAAAGTTAAGAGGAAACTTGTTAACCTGGAGACTTCTCGGGCTTCACATGTTTACAAACGGATGATGTATTTCTCTCGCATTTCACCTAAGGCATCAGTTTTCCGACATCTTCAATACACACTCAGATTAAACATTTTGCTCCCAAGGTTGACAAGCCAGCCAAGAGAGGGAGGGAAGGCAGGGTGAGGAATGGATAGGGCTGGGGGTGGAGCAGCATCGGGAGCTAGTGTCAGAACCAGAGGACAAAACAGTCTCCTTTCAACAATAAGGATGCCCCAGAGCCTGGGGCTCACCTGCCTGCAGAGAGTGTGGGCAGCTAAAGCTGAACTCAGCCCTTGGTTCCCATTCTCTGGTGCTTTTACTCCACAATTGAGGACCCTAGAGTCTCCAGGCCAAAAGGACCAAGTCTTATTAAAAAAACCTATGTAGATTTCATCCCTGGGTTCGTACATGGTCCTGTATCCCCAGCCAGTTACTTTACCTGGGACTTCGCTTCTTCACCTTTGACCTTGTCCTCTGAGGGTAGACTATATTCCTAGTACACACCCCTAGGCCCAAGGGGGACCATTTAGTGGGGAGTGACCCAGCTTGGATATGTAGCCAGGGTGTGAAGAAATGGGGGCAGGCAAGACAGGAAGCCAGCACGGTGTGTGTCCCACATTCTGGTGTGGAATCGGGAGTAGGAGCCTCCATTCATGCTCTTTCCAGTGCCCACAACATCAGGGAGGGGACTACTCTCTGGCATGGTCCTCCAGCCTAGACCCTGACATGGGGGTACAACCTTCGTTCATCTTTTCATAAAGGTTGTCATTGGAAACTGGCCAAGAAGAAGAATCTCTTGCCACTTTCCCCTGTCAAGGTGGAGCTGATTTATGGTTTTAATGTTTACAACCTAGAAGAGGAATTTCAGGGGCAGGTGTCTTCTGCCCTGATTAAACCTGTCTAAAAGAGCTCAGAGCCAGCCCTGACTCTCCAGCATCAGCAAGAGCAGAGCTATGACATGTGGCCAGATTCTCCAAATCCACCTTCACCCTTATTGGTAGGATACGACTTTGGGTAACCTCTCCAAACCTTGGTTTCATCATTTTGACCTCGGCCCCTATCTGTACGATGGGATAATAGCAACATCTACTTAATAGGCTTTTATGTCACTTCCCTGATATGGCCTCCCAGAGACAAAAGAACTGGGAGCAGAGAAGACTGAACAAACCATGTTTAGGGGTTTGAGGGGCAGATGTGACTCTCTCTGGACAGGCCAGCAGGCAGGACAAGTAGGAGGACAGAGGTGGGAAGAGGTGATGGGGGCAAAGCAGCTGTAAGAGGAGAGAATGCAACAAAGTCCAGTGTTAGCAGAAGGGGTTGGGAAGCGGGAAGACAGGAATAGTAGTTTATATGGGAAGGAGGAGTGGACACTGAAAAGAAGAGAAAGGCCATATAAGTCAGTGTATACTACACACGCATACACACAGGCACACATACTCAGGGAGATTATCTTAGCTGGCCTGGTCATGTGGATTTCTATCAGTCCCATGTGGGTTTAACACCTCCAGATTACTTGGAAATGTATCTGAGTCATGCTGTGAGCCCTGGAGGGCAGGGGCTGTGTCTCACCCAGCATCAGGCCACCTTGCATCTCAGCAGGAGTGGTCCCTGGACCGTGGTACACTCTGTGAAGTGGACTGAGCATTGTCCTGTCATGGAATATTCCCCTAGCACCCCACATTCACACTGTGGTCACACCAACCCAGTTGTTCTCGCCAAGGCAGAGAGGAGGGGCAGCTCAATACCATCTTCCAGAGAAGATGCTTTGCTCACGCGTAGGCCATGCCCCGGATGAGTGTGAGTTGCCCAAAGATGACTGTTGTCCCTCCCCTTTTTCACATGACAGGAGGGTCATCTGGGATGGGCCCTATTACCCTCTGGTCAAATAATGGCCTGACAACTCTCCTTGGGGCCAGGGCATTGCAGGGCCCCTCTCTGAGGCCCATAGAGACCTGGCTCCTTTCCTCCCACTTCCTTATGCAGCCAAAGGCGTCACGTACCAGAAAAACCCCCTATTCTGCTGGAAACAGACCAAGCACACTCCTGCCCCAGGGAAAGGAGGAAGACAACACTCTGGCTGCTGCCTACCAGCACTGCCCACACACAGATTCAGAAGAGAGGGATGTGTGTCACCTACTCACAACGTTTTGCAAAATGCCACTTGGGCAAATTATGTCATTCTCAGCCAAGCAGTCACGCCTAAAGCAAAATCAACACCTCAGTTTCCTTCCCCTTTTCCTGTCTGACTCAAGCAGCTCCCTCCCCTGCCCTACTGAAGCAGAGATATGGGTCCTGGAAAAGCCACCGCAAGTTGGAGCTGGGTTGAGATGCCTCAAGTACCAAGGCCAAGAGTCTGGCTTTTGTGGTAGACACTAGGGGCCATCGATGTCTGTGCTGAGACTGAAAACAATGGATTAGTGACCACATGCAACGTCAGGGTGGGGGCAGGGCTGCAGCCAGGGCAGGAGAAGCAAGTGGAGGCTGTTGCCATAATCTAACCCAGTGGCTCCCAACTGGGGTGGTTTTTCCCTCAGGGGGCATTGGGTCATGTCTGAGACACTTTTGATGGCCTTGACTTGCATTGGGGGAGGTGCTGCTGGCAAGAGTGGGCAGAGGCTAGGGATGCTGCTAGACCACCCACAACACACAGGGCAGCCCTTACAACAAAGAAATGTCCAGCTTAAATGTCAGGAGTGCTGAGATTGAGGAATGCTGATCTAGCATAAAGAAGTGAACATGGGATCTAAGAGCAGCCCTTCTGAGAAACAAGACAATGAAGGGTGCAGGAGAAAGAAGAGTTGCAGGAGCTGGACCAGGCTGGAACTGGGGCTCCTGGGAGAAGGGGGTCACGTGGAGAGAGCTAGTGGGACAAAGGAGGCAGCCAGGGTGCCTGACAGGTGCTCATGGCCATCTGTTGACTTGAGTCACAAGTGAGTTCAGTGTGGCCGTAGACTCACTCAATCAGCCAGTGTTGAGAGAGAGTCCAGGTGGGAGATCTACACCTGCAGATCTGCAATTCCCAACCCTCTCCTGAGATCTCATAGCCTCCTGTTCCCCAGCACAAAATGCAACCTCTTCAGCACCTGCAAATCTGCAATTCCCAACCCTCTCCTGAGATCTCATAGCATCCTGTTCCCCAGAACAAAACATAACCTCTTCAGCATGGGAAGAGAGACCAGGATTTGGCTCCTGCTTCCTCTCCAGCCACACCGTCTGCTGCTCCCTCCCCTCACATCCCATTCTCCAACCCTACTCTCCCACAGCCCTGCAAAGGCAGCATCCTCGCCAGCGTCCTTGCTCAGCTCCAGGTCTTTCCTGGGCCACCCTTTCTTCCCTTCCCAACCTGGCCTATTTCTACTCATCTCTGAGAATACAACTCATTTCCAAGTCCGGTTGGAAACCTTCGCTGAGCCTCACACCTAACTTGGATGCCACCTCTTGCAACTTCTATGGTACCCCGGACAAAACTCCATCCAGGACAGAGATTACATCATAATGGCTACTTTCTAGCTTATTTTTACTTTAGGCCCTTTGAGGGGTCCTTCAGGCCTGCAACCTAGTCTTTCATCTCTGCATCTTCATAGTTAACAGGCAAGTAGCTGTTGAATAAATAAATGAATTCATGGATAGATAAAGATATGGAATTTGTGAATCAACAAACAGGAAACTGTCAAAGCTGGAAGCATGAAAAAAGTCTCCAAGAAATGGTTTGTAGAGAAAAGAAGAGTGAGCTGAGAATCTTGGTGAATACCCGCCAGAAGGGTATGAGAGTGGGGGTGAGGAGTTAGCAAGGAAAACAGATGAAAGGAACAGGAATGTAGGAGAAGAGGGATCGCACTGAGACACAGAGCCAGGTGAGAAGCCATAGACAAATGCGCTTTTTTTTTTTTTTTTTTTTTTTGAGGAGTTTCACTATTGTTGCCTGGGCTGGAGTGCAATGGTGTGATCTCAGCTCACTGCAACCTCCGCCTCCAGGGTTCAAGCGATTCTACTGCCTCAGCCCCCCAAGTAGCTGGGATTACAGGCACGTGCCACCCTGCCCGGCTAATTTTTTGTATTTTTAGTAGAAACGGGGTTTCGTCATGTTGGCCAGGCTGGTTGTGAACTCCTGGCTTTAGGTGATCCACCTGCCTTGACCTCCCAAAGTGCTGGGAATACAGGTGTGTGCCACTGTGCTTTAATGCAGTCAACAGGCCGAGTGCTACAAGACAGGCTGTGAATTTGTCCGTGACCTTTAAAATAACAGTTCTAGCCTCAGATAGGAGAAGACTGTCCGGAAAAACATGGCAGGGAGGGGAAGGTACTCTGTCGATGAATCAAGTAAAGCACAGGAAACCTTTCAGAGAAGGGACCACAAATGGTCCTGCAGACTGAGGGGAGGCAGGAGATGCAGAGGTGAAGCTGGGGATGAAGAAGGATGCTGCCCAGAGACAGGGTGGTGGACAGTGGTGGTTTTACGAAATCTGATGTGATTACCTGCCAGTCAGAGCTAAATCAGCTGGGAGACTCACAGAGCAGGCATTCCGTCCTGTCCCAGGAGGCAGTGTCACTCAGCGGCAGCCTTCTCCCGCTTTGCATTTCACATCTGCGAACTAGCTGTGCCAGTGGCCTTGCCTGACCTTGCCCACGGTTGCTGCCAGCAGGTAGGACACCAACTACAACAAACTCATTAAGCTCCTGCTAACTTAATGGGCAATTTCCTGCAGGCAGGATGCTGCCTGTTAAGCTGTCTTTCAGAGGAACTCTATGCACTTGGAAAGCAAGCAGTGTAAGCACAGTGGCAGAGTCGGGGGACGACACCTCTCATGCTCCACTACTGATCTCTGGGAATAAATGGGCATCTGATGTCATGTAAGAGCAGGTGATGGAGGCAGAGTCATCTGGCTGCCTCCCTCTACTGTGACACACGGTCCTGTATGCCCAGCCAGTTACTTTACCTGGGACTTTGCATCTTCGCCTTTGACCTTGGCACAGGGGCTCAACTTTAGGTTTGGGGTTTCTTGGTTGTTCTGCCTTTGAGATTCCAGGCACTTCTGTCTCTGTCGGATATTGCCCTTCTGGATGGAGGACTCCTTGGGGATGCTAGAGGAGAGTCACAGGGAGAGAGGAGAGTCCACTGCTCATTGGATTAGCAAGACTACCAGCTGGAGAGGGTGGGCAGCGTTCTGAGAATGGCAGGGCTGGGTTGTTACAAAAGATATGCACAGCTCAGAGAAGGGCAGGGTGCCACTAAGAATGAGGCGGCAAGGAAAGACCCAGGAGCCACAGATGGGGATGAGTGCCTGCAATGGAGCTAGTGTCAGTGAGTCCATAAGCCAGGGCTCAAACGCAAGCAGGTGAGAAATACTGCTACTGGCTAACAGCAACCCCTCATGCTACTGATTCAGTATAAGGTCCCTCCTGGTTTTAGGGGTGAAGGGAGCCAACTGGTCTTCTTAGACCTCCGATATACATAAAAGCCCTCATCTAGTTGGTCACTGTCTGCCTCTTCTCCAGACCAAGCCAGCTGAGGGCCTCTCCTTTCAGCCAGCCAAAGCTCCACAGGTAGGACGGATACCTGAGTTCAGGGTAGACATTCTCCAGGTACCACTTGAAGCTCTGGCAGCGCAGATTCTTCCTCAGGTCCAATCTGCTCTCAACACTGGGGCCAACGGGGTTGTGGACACACACAAAGACAAAACACAGCTGTCAGAGGCAGGCGCCAGCAACGCCAGTCCAGACTGAGAGCACAAAGCGCAACTCACAGCCATGCTCTGTGCTCACATCTCTCTGGAGGGTGCTGGGGAAATTAAGCAAGAACAGATTTCTATAACTGCAGACAGAGCTATGGAAACACTTAGCAATATCTCACAATGGTGCAGTAATGACAGCGAGGACTGGTGCTTTTACTTGAAGATGGAATTTGGGGGTGTTTTTCCTTTTCATTTGAAACAAAGCTGCAAGAACATTCAGTGTGTTGTCAATAATTCACCGCTGGGGCTCTGGGCCTGCTTAGTCACAATTTCTCTTTGGATTCTGCAGCCGAAACACCACTCCCCGCTGCCCCAGCCTCAAAAAACCCTTTTATTTCACTGTTTCTGGGGCCTGGTCATGTGTTTGTTCATCAGATATTCATTGAGCACCTACTGTGTGTCAGGCATTATACCCAATGTGGGATACTATGGAAAGCTTTTGAACAATAGGCAAAGATAATGAAATAACCCATCACAGCCCAGGTGACATAGGATGAGCAGGAGGGATCTATGGGAACAACTCAGAGGGGGTCCCTTGCTTGTCGGGTCCATGGTGGTCAAGGTAGTAATGGTGATGCTGGTATCTGGAAGGAAAAGGGGACATTATCTAGACAAACCAGAGGTAGGGGCCCCTGCTAGAAGCAGTGGGGAGAGTGAGATGAGCACATGTGAAGACACGAAAGAAGCTCTGCGGGCAGGAAGAGTGCTGCAGGGTCTTAAAATAGATGTGTATGTGAATGTAGGGGTGGTGATTTGGAAGAGCAGAAATGGGTGAGTTGAAAGCGAAGACAGACCATAAAGGGTCCTGTGAGGCACTGCCAAGGAGTTTGGACTTGTTTAAAGGGCACTGGGATGAAACTGATGGGTTCTAAGCAGGGCAAGAGGTGGTTTGTACTTTGACAGCATCTCACTGCTGGTCCACAAATAGGTCTGATGGGAAAAGCTGGGGCCAGGGAGGGTAGTGAGGAGGCAGCTGTGGAAACTCAGGTGCTGATCATGCTTTCAAATAGGGAAGTAGGGGGTGGGAATGAAGAACGACAGGCTGAGTGCCTCCACACCTCTCGGCACCCACCTAAGTTACATCCATGTCTTGTTCTTCCTGGGCAGACACATAGAGCTGGCCTTGCTTCCTGTCCAGCTCACTTCCTTCCACTCCCCACCTCAAGATTGCACTAGAACTTCTTCTCATAGAGCACCAACCACAGCTCATCACCAGACTCTAAGCTCCATCGGGATGGGAAGGATGTCATTTTTCTAAAATGCTGAATATTGGGTGTTTAGCAAGGGCCTGTGTGCTCACTGCATGATGGTGCAGTGTTACGAAGACTTGGTGATCATTTGGATGGGAAAGAGAAGGAGAGGGATTCAAGGTTGACACCTAGATTTCTGACTTGGGCAACAGGTGCAAGGAAAACTCTTCACGGGGATGGGAAATATCAGATGAGGAGTAAGTTTAGGAGCAAACGTCATGAGTTCAGTTTAGGACTTGTTGAGTTGGAGGCACCAGGGAGATATCCTGGTGGAGGTGTCCAGTGGATAATTGGATAGAAGGGATTGGAGCTCAAAGGATAGGTTTGGCTGACAAATAGAGATGCAAATATTAGCAGCATAGACATAGTGCTTAATGCCAGGGAGAATATGTAGTCAGAAGAGGCTTTCTAATGGACCTTCCAGCAAGACCACCATACAAGGAGTAGGAAGAGGAAACAGCCTGCAAATGGGACCAAGCAAGCAGTGCCTAGCAGCAGAAGAAACGCCATGCCTGCAGAGTTCTGGAAGCCTAGGGACCGGGGGACACCAGAGGGGCCGGGGGAGGGAGACAACTCATGCTGATGGGGCAGTGTAAGAGGACAGTACAGGGTGCAAGGAAGTCACGAGGGAGCCAGGTGGGAGCAGTCTCAGGGCTTGCGGGCCAGGAGCGAGGAGGGGAGTGGAGAGACGAAAGCAGACCACTGCTTCACGAAGCTGGGCACTGGAGGAGTGGAAAAGACAGAGCGTGGATGACGAGCAATGTTGGACTGAAGGAGGGTTTTTGTAGTTTGCTTTCTTTCCTTCCCCTCCTATTTTTTTTAAGATGTAAGACATTTAAGAAGTTTAAATGGTGACGGGCATAATACAGCAGAGGAGAGACCAGGGATCAGGGAGAGAGTGGAGGCACCCAGAGGGCAAAGCCCCCTAGGAGCATGGTTCCCAAACTTGTCCCCATGTTAGAATCACCTGGTGTGGGGTCTTTAGAAAAATTCTACATCCCAGGCCACACCCCAGAGCAAGTAAACCAACTCTCTGGAGGAGGGGCACAGACTGCAGTCAGTTTGAAACTCCCCAGGGGACTCCCATATGCAGACTAGTTCGGGAACCTCCTTGGTAGAACCTTGCTTCTCGAATTGTGGCACTCAGGCCGGGAGCATTGCATCACCCGCAGCTTATTAGAAATGCAGACCTCCAGAGTCAGAATTTTCATTTTAACAAGATCCCCAGGAAATCTGCTTGCCCATTAATGTTTGAGAGGCCCTGTGCCAGGAGGCAAGAGGAGATGAATCCAGGCAGTGGGAACTCGATAAATGTTGATTTATGAATGAATGCAGCGATGAATGGTGCATCCGGAGTACAGGTGGAGGGATGGAGACCACAGCAGGAAGCACAGCCTGTCCTTTGAGACAAGAGACAGAGAAGGATGCTGCAGATGCAGTGAAGTTAATGGGTTGGTTTGTTTTGGGAAGTTGATGTCATCTATTTCATCTGTAAAACAGAAGGTGTCATCTGCTGCCAGCGAAAAAGGGGGGTGGACTAGGGGCTGGGAAGAGTGGAGATTTAATGAAGATCGAGGGAGAACGCTAGCTAGGAGAGGCAGCAGGGCCAGTGGGCAGACTGCAGGCCTTGCTGAGACTGACGACCATGGTGTATTATTAGTAGCACCAGCTGGCATTCCCAGTTCTCTTCAGCAGCCTGTGTGCACTGGAGGACAGGGTGCAAAGTCAGATTCATCCAAGGTTGAACCTGGAAGAACTGTGGGGATGGTGTTGCTGGATGGACAATAGCACAGAAGGTCTGAGGACAAGACCTTTTAGTTCAGTTTTTAAAAGAGTAGAATCCAAGCTAGAGAGGGAAGGCAGTGAGGGGGATGTGGTTGATATGGCCAACAGATTGGAAGTTCTGATGAGGACTGAAAATGAATGCCTTGGAGGTTTGGAGTGAGAGAACCTGAGGGGCGGCATGGATTTATGGTTTCAGAGGTGCAAACCATTTTGGTGGGTTCTGATTTAATCCTCCCACTCAGTGATGGGTTCAACCTATGAAGTTTAGGCTGCAAAAAAACCCATCTGCTCAACAGCCTTCATATGATGAGTGGGTGATGTTAGCATGACAAAAAGCCGTTGGTTGCCCCCAAAGAAACATAAATGATAGCATTAGTGAAGGTGCTATTTTTCTCTAATCAGCCCCAGGCTGGGGAATGCAAGGTCATTCCAAGTTTTGAAATCAGACAGGTGTGGTTTGAGCCACCATCCCCCTCTGCCATGGTGTCATCTAGGGCAAGAAGCTTAACCTGTAGAAGCCTGTCTCCTCATCTGTAAACCAGAAGTCATTATGCCCATTCCTCAGAGTTGGGAGGATTAATGAGATGCCTTATGTAATGGTATCTAGCTTTTATTTATTTATTTATTTTTAATTAATTAATTAATTTTTTTGAGATGGGGTCTCACTTTGTCGCCCAGGCTGGAGTGCAGTGGCATGATCTCAGCTCACTGCAACCTCCGTCTCCCAGGTTCAAGCGATTCTCCTGCCTCAGCCTCCCAAACAGTTGGGACTACAAGTACCCACCACCATGTCTGGCTAATTTTTGTATTTTTAGTAGAGACGGGGTTTCACCATATTGGCCAGGCTTATCTCGAACTCCTGACCTTGTGATTCACCCACCTCAGCCTCCCAAAGTGCTGGGATTACAGGCGTGAGCCATCGCGCCCAGCCTGGTATCTAGCTTTTAATAAACATTCCTTTCTCTGTCCTCTCCTCCCATGAAACTTGAGCACTGCTGTAGAGGACATCTGTACACACGCTGTTCCTCCAAAGAAGGAGAGAACTTAGGCTTGGATGATGTAGAACTTGGAGGGAGGAAGTCCCACCTAGAGGGACTAAGGCTGTCTAGTCCTGCCTCCTTCCTCTCTGCAAAAAGCAGGAAAAATTGGTCCATTGCACAAGGCACAGCTCAGCTCCCCTAGAGCTGGCAGTCCAGGTTGCCAGGAGTCATTCCACAAGAGCTGCCTAAAGGCCTGCACATCCAGAGCTGGGCAGAAGCTCTGAGGAACAGGAACGAAGCCACAGCCTTGGGCCCTGCGGGAGCACAGGGCAGCTAAGCTGACTGGCCTATCAGCACCCATTTACATCGGTTCTATGAGCTGGGCTCTTTTGCACCCTCTGTCCTCCTCAACCTGAAGGAACACTTACTTCCCGAAGGGCCTCTCCAGGGCGAATGGCCGGGCAGCGTAATAGTATTGCTTGTATTCATCCATCCACACTTCAGCTGTCCGCTTGGTGTTCCTGGGAAGACAAGGAGTGACAAGGAGTGTCAGTAAGGGGCTGTCTGAGAGGCCCTGTGAGTGTCAGTTAAAATACACATGTGTGGGCTGAGGTGGCAGCACCACCTAGGTTCCACCATGGTCAACCCACTATCATTCCTGTTCCCAGGGCACTGAGCCTAGCCAAGCCCCACCCAATCTCCAAAGGGGTCTTTACCAAGACACAAGATTTTAGTACAGGTTGAGTATCTTTTACAAGAAATGCTTGGAACCAGAAGTGTTTTGGATTCGGGTGTTTTTGTTTTGTTTTGTTTTGCTTTTGGAATATTTGCATACACATAATGAGATATCTTGGGGACGGGATTCACATCTAATCTAAACATGAAATTAATTCATGTTTCACATACACCTTATACACACAGCCTGAAGGTAATTATATTTTTCCCTTGGGGATGCTGAATAAACTGTGGGTTGTCTGCCTGCATTTTGACTGCCACCCGTCACATGAGGTCAGGTGTGGAATTTTCCACCTGCTGCATCATGTGGGTGCTCAGAAAGTTTCAGATCTTTGAGCATTTTGGATTTTAGATTTTTGGATTAGGGATGCCCACCTTTAATAACAACAAACCTTTCCCCCAAAAGATACAGACCAGGGAAATCATGCCAGAAACTGAACTTCTGTGGCTCTCAAAGAAATAGGGAGAAAAGGCTCAGGAACCCGACACATTCCTTCACTGCCAGTAACCAAGAGTGCAAAGGCAAGGCCTGCGCGGGCATCTAGCCTCTGGCTGTCCTCAGGCTCTTGTCCCGGGTTCTGTCCTTTACCATAGTGGAAGTGCTCAGGTCCCAGCTCTCCAAGGGGAAAGTCGGCACACACAGGTCTTCCTGCAGGCCGTGCAGTTAGCCTGCTGCAGGTGTAAATAACTAAGTAATCAGGCTTCTCTTTCCAGACTTTTTGCTAGCACTCTAGTTTTTAAAATCAGGTTATCTGCCCTGACTCTGACCCCACAAATCACAGAAAAGGAGACAGAGAGAGAGACAGACACTAAGGATGACATCCCTCAGCCATCAGGGGCACTAGAAAGAGCCCCAGAAAAGAGAGAAAAGATGTCAGAAAACAGTCAGGTGGCTGGTGGCCTGGGCAGCAGTGGTATCTGCTACGGTCAAGTAAGGGAACTTGGGGCCTAACTGAAAAGGGGGTGCTCTTTCAGATGCTAATTCTAGCGCACAGGCATTCAAGAGAAGAGGGTGGCAAGCCCTTCTAAGCTGGGACCTGCAATGACAGTTTATGCACACACAGCCTTGTCCATGGGGCACCAGAGGCAGTTAACAGCACCTCCCTGGCCCCTTCCACTGCCGAGCCATCAGCACATTGGAAGCTGCTTTTCAGACATCCGTGCCACAATCCTGTAGAAACTGAATGACCTACCAGTGGCATGCAGGATGTCCATTGGCCAGGACCCAGTCTCAAAGACAATGACTGTCTGGAGCCCCAGGCTCTGCCCCTCATTTCCAGGCCAGCCCCCCTCCAGGCGGCCACATGGCTCCTGCACAGCCACCACCTCCCTGTGCCAGACGTCCCCAGCTCACCTTTCCTTTTTAAAACCTGAGAGCTGAGGCAACCCTGCCTTTGTTCCCCACTGCTTCCTGGCCTGCTGATTTTCTCATTGCCCTACCCTTGCCCTTCACGTTTTTGCAAAAGGTGTGGCCAATTTTCCCATTGCTCAAACCCATGTCTCCTCCAGGACAGCTGTGTTGGGGTGGCTGTGTCAGGACGTGATGACACAGCTCCCCCTACCCCAATAGATCAAATGACAGAAAAAAAGGAAGAGGGGACCAAGTGGAGGAGTGAAGCTATCAGATGACAAGAGACAGAGGGTGGGGGAAAGAGAGAGAATCAAGAGGAAAAGAGGCAAAGATGGAACAAATTATTCTGAAAGGAGAAGAGAAAGATCGAAAGAGGAGAAATCGAGGAAAAAAGAGTGGATGAAGGGAGGAAGCAGGGAACACCTAAGTGGGCACCCTTGGGTCTCTGAGTCCCGGTAAGAACCACCCCCTAGACAGGAGAAGAGAGCGCAACAGCAGACAGGAGCCCAGGGTCTCAGGCCCTGCTCCAGCCTGGACCCTTTGACTGTGCTGGCCAGGCCCTGGAGCAGGCACCTAAGCTACATCCCTTGGGCCTTCCCATTCCCCTGCATCTGCCCAAAGACCTCTCCCCTAGTGACCTAGCTTGAAGGTGGGGCAGCGGCTCTTCTAGAACTCCAAGGTAAAAAGGGCTGCCTTCTTCCATCCTACATAACCCCAAATATCGGGAGCCCATGCCCTGTAGAAGGGCACTGATGGGTGACTTGAAGCCCACGAGGCCTCATGTGGGGCCTTCCAAAGCCTCAGAAGTATTAGGGAAGTCTCTGGCCCTAATGCTGGATATGACAGGCCTGCCCTCCCTACCCAAGCAGAGTCTGGGTAGTACAAGGTGCAGCCCCAGCCAGTCCAAATCACATAGGCAGCCTAACAGAGCACCAGGGATGGCTGCAACCCTTACCAGCAGCCGCCCAGCCATGGCTGCCTGTGCTGCTGCCCACCCGCACTGAGCCCCTGGGCACTTACTTTATATACGTGTTGGCATTTCCATCAGGGAAAACGTACGGGTGCTTCTTCCGGAAGACGTGCCCCACTCGGCTGCAGGGGACGATCTCTAGGCTGCCCCCGCACATCCACACTCGGAAGGAGATTTCTGCAAGACAGTCACGCCCCTCCTATGACCTCTTATTACTGCTGCTCCAGCTTTGAGGCCCCAGGTCTAATGAAACGGTGAGGGCCCCACAGAGGCCAAAGAACAGACTCTGCAGCCAGTCTGTAGGTTCTACTGGCTGAGAGACCTCAGTTTCTCCATCCATGAATGGGAATAATCCTAACACTTCGGAGGGTGGTATAAGTGAGCAGGGAAACAGTACCAACCAGCACGCTGGCCTCTGGAGCATATTCAGGGGCCAGCATGGCGGGGCAGGGGCTCTGCTGCAATGTCTTAGCCTGGAAAGGAGGAGCCTTGGGGCACCAAGAGAATTACCTTCTAACTTGCAAAAGAATTCACTGTGGAAGTCTGGTTAGATGCACTCCCTGTGATCCCAGAGGGTTAGAGTCAGGACCAAAGAGAAAGAAATTTCAGTTGAGAATACAGGAGAATTTTCTAACAATCAGGGACCAGGTGACCATTGTGAGAAGACTCGGGACAGGCTAGAAAACCATGGCAAGGATGCAACAGAGGGGACTGAGTCCCCAGAAGGCCTCAGGGCAAGGTGTCCACAAAAGTTCCTTCCACAGTGAATGCAATTCTACCACTGGGGAAGAGCCACCTGAATCATAACCCACGAGGAGAAAGTCTGTGCAGTTAATTAGAGCTGAAAGCAGCTCTAGAAAATGCTGGAAGCCTCAAAGCTGTTGTTGCTGGTGTCCCCTAGGTTTGTACACACACCCATTTCTTCCTGGTTGGCTGCTGCTATGGGCCCTCAGGGAGGTGGGTGGGATGGAGTTAGCAGAGGCAGTTGTGATGAGTGTATTTCTCCCTGGGACTACACCCGAGCTGGCTTGAAGTAGTACTTCTGCCCTGAGAAGGAAGCAGTGGCATACCAAGGAGGGAAGGAGGGGATTTTATCACTGCCATTGGTTAAAATTGCCAGTGCATGGTGACATTCAAAAGCAGAATGACTGTTAGTGTTAATATTGCTCTTAAATTTTCTACAGATAATGTACACCCTAACTGACCACGGCGAGGGCAGCCTGCTTCCTGCATCCCACTGGGCCTGTCGCTGGTAGAAAAGGCAGCCCCTGATCTGTAGGTATTCTGGTCTGGCCAATGCTTCTGAAGTCAAGCCCAGATGTGTGGCTGCCCATGTGAGGGGCTATGGGGAAGCAGCCTGGGTGTTTAGGGGCAGGGAACAAGAAGGCAGGTATTCTGGGGCCTTCATATCACATGTGCGTCCTGCACCCTGCTCTCATTCACCTGTCCCCAGACACTCTTACCTGTCATCTACCTGTCTCCTCCCACGTTTCCTTGGAAAGGCCCCTGGACTGAGGTAAGACTTTCTTCACTAGCCCTACTCTATCACCTTCTCTGCACCGGCCCCTCTGCCTACTGCTGTTCACTCCCGGGAAGCCTGGATTCTCCTAAGGGTGGGGACCATGTAGACTCAAGGAGGAAGAGAGGACTTCTCGTGACTGCTACTGAATCATGGCAATAACATGGGGGAAAGGAATAGGAAGAACTTAGCTTCACAGTCAGCAGGCCCAGGTCTGCAGTAACTGGCTAGCTGCAACCTTGGGTAACCTGCTGAAGCTCGCGGAGGCCTGATTTACTCTTACGTCAAACAAATGTCATAAAAACACTCCCCTGGACTGCCGTCAGCATCAAATGAAACAGAATTTTGAGAACAACTGTGTAAATGCTAAGTGTGATTGAAAGATCAGCAGCAGTTATTATGAGACATCTCTCTGAAGCCAATCTCGTTAAAACATAGACATCACCCACCTGTGCCCCCTTTTAATTTCTTAGACGACTTACAGATGCTTCTTCCCATCTTCTGCCACACTGCACGAGATACCTGAAATGTCTGCACTTCACACTTGTTTTCGACTCTCCATAAAGTCCCATGGTATAGCGGGAGTTGGCATTTGGCTGGGGCACTATTTGAATCATTTTTCACATGAGTCATTGAGCAAAGAGTGAGCTCAGCCAACTGCCTGGCACCCACATCCCCATCTTGCAGTAGCACATAGAGGAACCTGGAGGTCGGTGCGTGGAGTTGTGTCAGCACGTGTGAATTTCAGTCTCATGTCTGTGCTCCAATCAACTCCTCTCCAGAGACTCAAAACAGGGCCTGCTCCAGTTCCCAAAATGGAAAACCCTCCAATTCCTCAACACTAGAGATGGAGTCCTTGCTCGCTAGATTTAACTTACACATCTTGTGCCAGCCTTCTTCTAAAGATATGTATGGGTTTCATCTACAGTCTCTTCCTTTCCTTGTATTCAAATGAGACATATGTCCCTTTGCCTTTGCAAAGTGAATCCCTCCAACCTGTGCCTCCACCCCATGCCCCACCCCCATTCCCCACTAGCTGTTTCTTTTCCTGTGATCCCTTGTCCCAGCTCTTTCTTTCTCTCTGAATCTACTGACCCCTCCCTTCTGCCACAGGCATGCACAGGTCCCCAGCTAGGCCAGCACCTGGCCCTGACCCTTCTCTACCTTCCTTCTGGTCTCCCTATGTTCTTCTCCTACATGCCCTCAACGCTCTGCCTCTAAGCATTTTCCTGACACTGCTGTTGCCTCTGCTCCCAGAGTTTGCCCTATGCTGAGGACTCACCTCCATCCTACCAGCCCCAACTCTGCCCCAGGCTCTGGCACCAACTTCCCACGATTGGCTGAGGCATCTATTGAGGTGCACAGGACATTATCACACCCAAGACATCTCCTATGCCCTCAGCATCTTCCCACAGCCCGCTGCAGCCCTGCCTCCTCTAAAGACATTCCTCCTCCTTCTAATTTTCTTATGTCTGTTGCCTTAGTACAAAAATTGAGTATTGCAATTCTGCAAGCATTAGCCGTGGGAGGAAAATGACCCCTTCATTTACTTCTGGGCCAGGCAGGCAGTAGCTGATTAGTCCTAACAACCCTGCTCCATTGTTATTAATGTTCCTATTTTGCGATGCAGAAGCAGCTCCGATAGGACAACTGAGAGCGAGGAGCTGGTGACATTCAAAAGCATGGAAGCACATCTCCCCAACTCCAAAATCCATGCTCTTCCCCCAACACCACCCTGCCTCCATACTGAACATCTTCCACCAGCCAGTACAGCTGTGGATGCAAAGATACCGACTTCAAGGCACTCACAAATTAACAAGAGTGACAAATACATAGTTAGCTGTCACATGCCTACCCTGTCAACTCACTCATCCAGTCCTAAAGGATGTCCATCTCAGGTCTCCTTCGGGCCAGCTGCTGCCGCCCAGAGGAACTTGCAGCCGAGATGAGTTAAGAGTGTCTCTACTCTGGAGTTCAGATTGTTATGCCTGGAATTATTGGAGGCACGTGTCTTGACATGGATCGCTGTGCTGCTGCCAGAGTCAAGAGGCAGTCTGAAGGATGCGGCTTGGAGTTTTCAGATTAGTGTGATGATTTATAGGGATGACAATGCGGGATATTTAAAACCCAAGCTATACAGGTGCTCTACCCTTATCTACATCACTGACTCCAAGGAAATGATGTGTATCCTCTCAGGACTGCAGGCCAGGCCTGGTGGTTCACAGATATCTGCTGAGACCTTTGGGACAGTCTTGCAGTCCTGAGGTCTTGTGAAGGGGCTTGCACAAGTGCTATCAGAAATGCTGTAGATTCATGTGTGAGGCGGCGGACCTTCCAGGTGCAGCTTAGGGCCTCTGATCTTCGAGGCTGCAGCACCTGCAGAGTCATCATTTCTGAAGTGAGGGAGAAGGGAACAAAAAAAAAATTTGTGTAGGGAGTTTGCAGGGGGTTCTTGCTGAGTCAGCGCCCACATAATCTCCCTGGTGATGAATGCCGCCTCACGGAGACCCAAATCCACTTTGAATTCCAGGCATGGAGATGTGTAATGATTCCATCCTCATCGGGGCACTGTTATAATCTTACTTTCTTTAAGCGTCAGGTAAATATTTGAGAGCAAATTGCCCTCCCGCCCTTCATTCCCCCCTCTTTCCTTCTGTCTCTCCATCAGCTGATCAGTAGTTCTTACCACTCCTCCCAGGGTCCCAGCCCTTCACCAGAACCAACTTCTACCTGGCAAGCCCATGAATGGTGGACAGGAATTCAGGGGAGAAGGGGCAGCTTTCTCTCCAGGAAGCAAACCACGACTATTCACATGCCACTGCTTGGTCATACTGGTCAAGGTTCTAATTTCGTTTTATAGCCTGGTTTCTAAACAAAGGCAAAGGGAATTATTACACGTGGGTACCACATTTTACATGGAGCCTCATATAATATATATGTGTGTGTATTGTATATACAATCGCATTGTCCATTCTACTTTTGGCCAAGTTTAAACCTCTGTCTGAGAAACAGACACTCACCTGGCTATTGTCATTCATAAGTCCACACATATTTATGTACAATGGGGAACCTTGCCTTTCAGTAATTTTTAAGTTCCCAGCATCTGCTGGGCTCGAAAGCAAGCTCTGTTATTACTCTTTAATGAACGAATGGACTTGAGTAGAGAGAATCTTATTGGCCCACAAAACATCGCCTTGAACCTTTGAGCAAAATTACATTTCACCCATGGCTGGGACAATCAAGTCTCCATCCACACCTCTTACTCTAGACAAGTATTGACCACAGGCATGCCACGATCTGCAATGGCCATACAATTGCAAATGCCAGGTGACACCTTTATCTTTCCATATTCTCTATTCAAACAGAGCAACCAGTGTCTGATGGGACTCAATTACACTTAGGGAAGTTGAGAAGCAGCAGGAAAGGACAGCTTCAAGGGGTCTCCCTTGGGCATGCGGCTTTAGCCAGTAGCCCAGACAAGGAACAGAGTGCTGGCTGCATTAGCCTTACTCTCCATCTGGGGGAAAAGCTGACTTTCTATCACACTTGGATGCTCTTCTCAAATGAGACCATGTCCCTAATCTTGAGCCACCAATCATAGAAAGGGTGAGGCTGAAAGAGAAAGTCAAGGAATAAACTACTCCAGCAGGTCACACAT